ACTTGGCTGTTGGGATTGTTTAATGCTGTGCTTTGCTTATCTTGTTGTATATTGGAAAGGAATTTTTAATGCTAACTTATCCTTGAGTATTTATTTTTGGATTTTAGCTTTTATGAATTTTTAATCTTTAACCCGTGAGCAATAGCAATAAACCTTTGAGAACAAGTTTTTGTCCCAGCTTGACTAATTGGATGATTTTTGTGTTGACTAGGTGGCAGGAGCTGTTAGGATGTGGGCTGGCAAGGTGGTAATGCCTCTGGCTGTGCCCTTGTGGGCTGGGTGGATGTGGCCTTCGAGGCAGAGCTGCCCATGGAGTCTCCATGCCTGGGGCCTTTCCGTCCTTTGGCCATGCCAGCCCTGGCCTCAGGCTCTGGGAGGGGAGGGCTGGAGCTGGTGTGATTCTCCGTTCACAGTCCAGCAGTGAGCACTGGCCGCAGGGCTGCTTTTGCAGGTAAGGGGGCCAGGAAGTGTAGTCTGGCTGCACAGTGCTCCTGGGACAGTGCTGCTTGTGGAAGGGCAAGTGGGGGCTTGTGAACGCCCCAGCCGCCTGCCACACCGGGGCTGGAGGACTTGAGGGTGTCTGGCTTCATTGTTTTTCTGTGGTCCCTCCATTTCCCCTCCTCTTATTGAAACTAAGACTGGAAAAACATTGCAAGAACCCACAGAGCATGATCTTATTTTCTGTGACCCAGTTTTTTTTTTTTTCTGGTACTGGGGATTGAACCCAGGGGTGCTCTATCACTGAGCTACATTCCCAATGCTTTTATTTTTTTTATTTTTAGACAGTTGCAGAGGCTGGCCTTGAACTTAGGTTCCCCTGCCTCAGTCTCCTGAGCAGTTGGGATGACAGGTGTGTGTGCTGGCCTGACCCAGGTTCTTGTACATTATGCAGGAGCATGAATGTGAAAACGCATAGGAGAATGTGTACTGTCTGGAGTTTTAAAAGAAATCTGTCAACTTGTCTTATAATTAGAAAGCAGAAAAATTATTTGAATTCTTGAGTGTTAGCTTGCTTCTGAGACATTTTTTCCTTTGAGATAATTCACAAAAAAAACCCCAGAAAATTAATATAATACAGATTTCCCAAACTGAACTCGGTGTGTAGTTAACATGAGTTGCAAAAGGAATGCTGACCTGCACCAGCACAGGATGACACACCATGCTGGTGCAGGTTGGCATCCCTTTTGCAGCTCAGTCTTCAAGTGTTTGCTCAGTATTCAGATTAGTTTCTCTTGCCTCCCACAGAAGACAGAGTGGGCCACTGTGTGGTCAGCAGTGCCAGGTGGCCTGGCTCCCAAAATGGGGATGGGACAGTATTGGTCAGCGGCTGTGCAGCTTGCTAAGTTGCTGAGGGAGGCCCTGAACTGAGGGCACACGTGGTTTGGGTTTGTGGGGGCCGCCTGGAGTGGAGCCCTGAGTCCTTGTCTGCACGTGACCGTGGCATGTGTGGTGTTCCAAGCTTTCCACTACAAACAACTGATTGGTAGTGGCCTTTTGTATTAAAATGTGGCAAACACAAATTCATGAGAAGTAGTTTAAATACTATATTTTTCAGAGAGAGGATATTTTTAAAAAATTTTGTTTAGTTGTTGATGGGCTTTTATTTTTATTTATTTACATGTGGTGCTAAGGATTGAACCCAGTGCCTCACACATACCAGGCAAGTGCTCTGCCACTGAGCCTCAGCCCTAGCCCAGAAGAGGGTACTTTTGTGACTTGATTTTGGTAGCCTTTTTTTTTTTTTTCCCCATGTACTTGAACAAAGCCTGAGATGGCCCTTGTTTGGGTGGATGATGAGCCAAGGGAGAGAAGAGTCAATTTTCTATAATAGTAGACGTGGGCCTGCTCTGGCTGGGCTCAAGGACCAGCTGCATGAGCCGTGGAGCCAGGAGAGCTCGCCTCTGGAGAGCGCTCCTCTAGTCTGTGCGGCGATGCCCCAGGGTTCTCAAGGTCCGTGGAGGTCTTTGAACCAAGCAGACACAGGTCTCCTGCACATGGCAGACCCACGCCTTGTAAGTAAACTGCTCAGCAGAGAAGGTGCAAGTCCAGAGGAAGCCCGGAGAGCACAGTGAACCTCCAAATGGTGCCGTGTGTTCATGTGCATAGTTTTGCTGTTTAGCTTTTTAAAAAATTTTGTTTTTAATTAATAATTAAGTAATTTTGTGGTACTAGGGATTGATCCCAGGGGTACTCTACCACTGAGCTATACCCCAGCCCTTTTTATTTTTATTTTTGAGGCCGGGACTTGCTAAGTTGCTGAGGCTGGCCTTGAACTTGCAATCCTCCTGCCTCAGCCTCCCAAATTGCTGGGATCACAAGTGTGCACCACTGTGTATGGCTCTTGTTCAGATTTTAAAACAGTCACCCATCAGAATTACCTGGGGGGCTTGTAAAAGTGAGAAAAGGCCCCAATCTCTCTTTGGGGGATTCCGACTTACCTAGAAAGTTCTGGTGTGTAGGAAGCAGTACTCGGTAGCTTGCTCTGTGGATTTTGTTTCAGGAAGTCTCCTCTGTGTGTCACAGAAGCATTTGGGCTCTGGTCCAACCTTGCTGTGCTTCCGTGTGGTTACACAGATGTGTGCCAGGGGTCAAGCTGCCCAGAGCCACAGGCACACCCCGACACACACAGGTGCAGAAAATGGTGAAGTCCAGGCAGGGGCTCTGGTCTCGCCTCAGGGTTGTTTCCTATGGTTGTTTCCGTGGCACAGATGACACACGTGTCACCACTGGGGGATGCTGGGGAATGGTTCACAGGACTCAGTGTGCTGTTTTTCTGCAACTTTCTGTGAATCTGTGAATCTGTAATTATTTAAAACATGTGTCAGGGCTCAACCAGAGAGGCAAAACCAGTTGGGGGCATGCATGTGTACGAGAGAGAGAGAGAGAGAGAGAGAGAGAGAGAGAGAGAGAGAGAGAGAGAGAGAGAGAACTCTAAAGCCATAAGGGATTTATTTCAAGCAACTGCCCACACAGTTGTGGGCTGCTGAGCAGGTGTGGATGGGTGGGGAAGGCATAGCAGTCTGGGCCTGCAGGCAGGAGCTCTTTGGAGGCCAGGCTGGGGGGCACACAGACCTCTGAAGGGACCACCCGGGATAATCTCTCCTTTGGTGGACTGGGGTGGACCAGTGAGGACTTTAATCCTGTTTGCAAAATCCCTTTCCATCCCAGGCACCCCAGAAGTAGTGAGTGAAAAAGGGGAAACACGGCTTGTGGCCAGCCTGTGGCTTGGAGAGAAAGCATGGGCGTGTTCAGAATGTCAGACCCTCCAGGAAAGTTCATCATTTCCACCCCAGTTTCTGGGAAAGGCTTCCAGCGCACATACGTGCACATCTACATTTATTTGTGCATTTTTGGCACTTAATATTATTGTGATACTTTTCTCATATCATCCCTTAGATAACTACTACTTTTTTGTGTGATTCTAGGCATGGAATCGAGGGCCCTGTGCGTGCCAGGCAACTGCTCTTCCATGTGATATGGAAGTTCCATAGCTTAGCTTTTGAAAAATGAAATATTCTTTGTACTAAATATTCTTTGGTACAATTCAAAGTTGATAGGCTTGCATAAATATCAAACCCATAGAAGTCATTTTAGTCCCTTGATTGGCACATATGAGATTGTTGGAGGCTGAACCTGGCTGCAGTGATCAGATAGTCAGAGTCTCCTGGAGGGTGAGGCAGCTCAGCGGCAGAGCACTTGCCTAGCACACACCTGGCCCCGAGTTCCATTCCTAGCACTGCAAAAAAGGAAGGAAAAATTACCTGGTTCCTTTTTTTTAAAAAAAAAAAAAAATATATATATATATATATATATATATTTAGTTGTTGATGGACCTTTATTTGTTTATCTTTCTGTCTGTCTGTCTATCTGTCTATCTATCTATCTATCTATGGTGATGAGGATTGAACCCAGTGCTTCATATGTGCTAGGCAAGGGCTCTGCCACTGAGCCACAACCCCAGCCCTACCCGGTTCCTTTTGATACCTGACCGGTGGATAATTCATCATGGTTTGGTGGGTTACTTTAGGTGTTACCAAAGAACAAGTAGAATGGTCGAAAGATAATAATACCTTTTAATGATGTTCCGTCTTGGAAAACCAGCTGTGGTCCTGTGACAGACTGGGGGCCTACTGAGGTGCTGTTTTTGTACCTGAGGCGGGTGGTTCAGTCATATGGCTGTGATGCCAGGCTGATTTCATGTGTGCCAATCACAGATGAACAGTCTTTTTTCCTAGGAAAGGATGTTTTATTCACTGGTAGTATGACTTTGTATTTTTAGTGCTAGTTCTTTTGCTTCCCAACAGATCACAGCAAGGCATACTTTAGAAAATTTCTTGTGACCACAAAGTGCTAAGGGTTGAAAAATTAATGATTGAAAATACAAATGAGATTTTGCCTCAGGAGTCAGTTGCACGCCTGTAGTGCTTCCTCCAGGGTGTTGCTGGCTCTGGTGGCTTCTGGGTTGTGGCCATTGACCTTTCCTAGAATCTTTTTTCTTCAGAGCACAGCCCAAGGCCCTGTGGCTGTGGCCTGTGTGCTTTCCAGGAGAGCCCGCAGGTAGCACACACTGTGTGTCTTTTGGCCATCTGATGCGACAGCTGCCCCTGGCTCCCTAGGGCTGGTGTGTGCAGTGACACTGGTCTACATCGACATCAGCTGGAACGGGTCGGGAAAGGCAGGCTGGTTTTCAGTGTGACACCCATGCTGGACAACTCGCGGTGCTTCCGCCTGTTGTGCACAGACTATTTAAGTACCCTCTGCCCTGCTGTCCCACAGAATGTGCCTGTGAGTTAGGAAGGTAAACTCTCAGTTAAGAAGCCCCCCTTGAGTTTATTCTTAGCTAGTGCAAATTAACTGAGGCCTGCCTGGGACCACCTCCTTCCCCTCCCTCTTCCCTCAGCAGGCACTGGGAGCTGACTGTATTGAATGACTCTGATGTGCTGACAATGAATGTTGTTGTTTTAAGGTCTTCTTTTTCTTGTGATTCTTTTGTTCCATAGCGTCGTCCCCCAGACTACAGTAATACTCAACAATGATCGGCAGAACGCCATTGTAGCCAAGATGGAAGACCCCTTGAGCAACAGGGCACCGGATTCCCTGGAAAATATCATTAGCAAGTCAGTAGCCACGCACCACCCCACCTTTCCCTGCCTCTGTGATGAGAATAAGTCAATGTCCCCAGCCAGGGCACGGTTGAAACACGTGGTCCTTCTCTGTTCCCGGGTGATCCTGGCAGGCACAACTTGGTTCTGTGCAGTCAGGAGGGCCAGTACAGCGCTCAGTGTGGGAGTGGGGGTAGGCCAAGAGACCACACCCTGCTTCACAGCCACACAGTGAGGGGCCAAGGGACGTCTGTGTTGGAGCTGATGCGTGATGGAGGGGGATGGCAGTGTGTTTTCACAGTGGTCAGTTGGTCATTCTGTCTGTCCCTATAAGCAGCATGTCAGGCAACCAGACACCTCTCTTGAGTTGGCTGAATGAGATGGGCATGTTGAGTTTCTGGCTTTTTCTTGCACCCTTTTCTTTTGAGACACATTGAGTGGAAGTATGGTGGAGTGGGAGTGGACAGAGAGCACTGGTGCCCACCCAGGGGTAGCTGGAGCCACCACAGGTGCCCTCTGCCCAATGCTCTGAGCTGTGCACATCCCTGTGAGGGTCATTGTTGCTTTTCGTTTCCATCTGTGTCTTCACAACGTTCTGTTTTGCTTTTTCTCAGTCTCTTCTGCAGATTGTTGCTCCTCTAGGTTTGTCCCGGTTCCTCATTGTCTTGGTCCAGCCCTGTAGGAAGCAGCTGAAGTCTCGGGGTGGGCGGTGGGGTGCCCCAAGGCCAGCCAGGCTGCTGGGCCGAGTCCAGCAGGTTGGTCTGAGTGGAGGAGCCACTTTAGGAAGCGTGATGGGCAGCTCCCCCCTCTGAGGACAGCTAGGACCTTAAACGCCTTTTTTGACTTTGTAACAGGGAACTAGTGCTTCCTTTCCCTCTGGATGCTGAGCAGGCCATGGTCAGGGATGTTGACAGGGCCATTTAGAAGGCAGGTCATCAGTAGTCCCTAGAGTGCTCTCTGCAGCTGGCCCTGTGGCCCTGCTGTGTTGGCAGGACTTCATTGCTGCATGCCACCAGCCCTTGTGATGAGAGTAGCTCTCAGGGAACTCCTGGGATTCGAAACTGGCCTTAGAAACCCTCACCATGGTTTGTCCGTGGGAATAACTGGGAGTGTGATTGCGGTTTTGGAGGCTGAGTCACCTCTCGGATGTCTGAGCGGAGGGATGGGCTATCTGGAGCTCTGGGCTCCCTTCCTCTTCATTTTGTCTTTCCTCCAACACAGCCCTAAAAATGACTCTTACTCAAGCCAGCATTTCATAGCATAGCCTCTCCACCCAGAAAGCCGCGTTCCAGGCCCAAGTCACAGTGAGTCTCGATCCACCTCTCTTGTGGTGTAAATATTTTCTTTAAACCTTCATTTTATTTCGTACCATTTCTTTCAGCCCCAGACTGTTTCTCCATTAAATTGCTATTAGTCTTCGTAGAAAAGCTGTGTGGGGAGACATTGGTCCATTGGTCCATGCTCAGTCAGATGCTGTGGTCACCGGGAAGAGGACTGTCCAGTGAGTCAGGGCTGACCTCGGCGTGTTGCCCAAGTCACTCTCACCACAGGCTGCTGTGCTTGCTTCCCGCCAGCGCTGTTCCCGGGCGGCGGCAGAACACCATCGTGGTGAAGGTGCCGGGACAGGACGACAGCCACTATGAGGACGGGGAGAGCGGCTCGGAGGCCAGCGACTCTGTGTCCAGCTGCGGCCAGCCGGGGAGCCAGAGCATCGGGAGCAACGTCACCCTCATCACCTTGAACTCGGAAGGTGTGTCCCTAGGGCTGCTTTTCTGCTTGGCCAGCACAGTGATTGTGACAGCCTTGTTTTCATCATTTTAGGAAAGAAGTTCGCACTCATTGTCTTTAAGAAAAGTAAAATGATGTAGAAATACAGGTGAAGTGCAATAGCTTGGAACTGGGTGGTGGTGCACGCTCCAGGAGGCCGCAGAGGCCGAGGCAGGGGGATGACAGTTCAGAAGTCCGCGAGGCCCTAAGCAGCTCGGTGGGAGCCTGCTCAAATAACAGTACACGGCCTGGGATGTGCTGCATGGTCAGGTGCCCCTGGGCTCTGTCCCTGGTGTGGGGTCCTTCTGTGCCCGCTTGTACACCTGATGATTTTGCAGTTCACCTTTCACTGTTTTCTAGAGTAGGCTCTTTCCACGTTGATACAGATGTCACTTCCAGGTCATGCATTTAGCAACTTTCTGATGCTCCCTGCTGGGTGGCAGTCCTGTCCTGTCCTCATTCCCTGGCAGCCGCAGGTTCGCACTCTCTGCACCGCAGCTGGACGTGGACCCCGACGTGCTGGGCTGAGAGATGCTGTCTGTTCTAGTTATGGCACACGCTGCCTCTCCTGACCGGGGTCTGCACGGGCGGGTGGGAAGGCTGGTAGCTGGGTCTGTCTGTGTTTCTTGGACCCCTGCCTGGGGCTTCTGGGAGCCCCAAGGTGGGGACGGTCCTTCTCTCCTGAGGGGTCCGAGGTACCCTCTTGCCTGTCTCTTGGCCTGTGGAGACAGCCCCATGTGCCTTTGAAAGGCTTCATGTCACCTGGAGCCCTCATGTGCTCTTGTGACTAACTTTGTAGCCACCATAAGTGACATTGTTACCACAGCATGAACAACATGCACAAAGCCCTAGATTTGACCCCAGCACTGCAGCAGAATAACACAGAGCGACAACACAGGGAGAACGGCAAGAACCAGGCCGACTCCGCTGTGTCTGCAGAGCTCTGGGGCAGGGTTTCATTTACCAGGGAGGTTTTCCTGCTTCGCCATCTCAGTTATTGGTTTTTTCCTATAAACAGGATGTAGGTTTGTCAGCTTAACAAAGAGTTTTCTGTTAGAGAAACTGGTTACCGTGGCTGAAACTCTCGATTAAATGTTTTTTCAGAAACTGCTTTTACTTCCACTAAATTGCTAGGAGTTAAATGGCAGAACAGTGAGGAAAAAAGAGGTAACCTTTTTAAAAAAGCTTGTATACCATAAAGTCGACTGTGTTAAAGCATCCATTTCAGTGGTTGTGACACTTGCTCTGGAATGCCCCCCAAGGGCACCTGTGGAAGTCTTGGTTGGGGTCTGCAGTGTTATTGGGAGGTGTGGAGCCTTTAAGAGGCGGGGCCTAGTGGGAGGATGTTAGGTCATGGGGTGTGCCCATGAAAGGACTGGACTCTCTTTGCTTCCTGGAGGGCCACCCTGAGGTGAGCCTCTGCCTGTGCTCCCTCCATGACATGCTGTGCCACCTCAGGACCAAAGCCAAGGGGCCAGGTGATCATGGACTAAACCCTTTGAAACCCTGAGCCAGAATAAATCTTTCCTCCTCAGTTGTCTTACCTGGGGTACTTGTGACAGGGACAGAGGTGGCTGATTTCATGGTGGCTAGTGTATTCATAAGGATACAACCATCACCTTTATCTAATTCTAGAACTGTTTTTTGTGGGGTGGGTGCCAGGGATTGAACTCAGGGGCACTCGACCACTGAGCCACCCCTCAGCCCTATTTTGTATTTTATTTAGAGATGGTCTCACTGAATTGCTTAGCACCTTGCTTTTGTTGAGGCTGGCTTTGAACTCCATCCTCCTGCCTCAGCCTCCTAGTTGCTGGGATTATAGGCGTGTGCCACTGGTCCCAGCTAGAATGTTTTTATCTCTCTGAAAGAAACCCTTGCCCAGTAGCAGTGACTCCCCCTCCACCCTCGCCCTTCCAGCCCCCCCTCTGTCTCAAGGGGCTTGCCTGCTGTGTACATTTCACTAAATGGACTCCCTGTCCAGGTGGCGGCCTGCAGCAGTAGCTGCATAGCATTGTAGCATTCGTAGCTGAATAGTATTGTCCTTTGTCAGTTGATGGGCATTTGAGTTACTTCCACTTTGTGGCTGCTGTAAATTATGCTTTATGTATTTACATATGGGTGAACCGCCAGGTGAGGGCAACTGGCTCCTTTACACCAAGTGTGAGGAGAAGAGTGCAGCCGATTCCCTCCTCGTGGAACCCTGTGAGGCTCACTGCAGGACCGCAGGGGAGATGGGTTGCTCTCCTCCTCCATGTGGATTTTGCGCAGTTGGTCTGGTTAGCCACGGAGGCCTTGGGTTCAGTTAGTGTAAACCCCTCCAGCTAAAGAGCAAAATATCCCTGGGAGTCTTGAAAACAAAAATTCCCCCTTACAAATTTTTGTCTGAGTGTGGTTGGTCAGCGTCACACGTGTCTGCTGGGGAAGCGCTGCCTGGCACTGAGAGGAAGGTGGGGAGCACTGGTGTCTGGACATGGTGCTGTTCACCTCCTCGGGAAAGCGCGGGTTTCTTTACGTCCGAGTTCAGGTTCTTTAAATATGAGATGCCACTCCATGTAAGACATATGTCTTTATTTGATTTTTTGTTTTTAAGACATGCTTCGTAGCAGAGGCTTCAAGCACAGTGTTAAGACCACTTGGAAAGCTGTTTCTGCCACAGGGATCTTGAGCTGTAGCACAGGGTGTTAGGATCAGACTAGAGACATTTTTCCAGTTTAAGATTTTACTTTGTTTTGAAGAAAGGTCAGAGTTCAGATAGTTCCACCTTCTCAGCCATCACAAGAGGACACAGATGGGTCTGTTCCTGATCTCCGGGGGATGGACACGCCCGCAGCATGCCATGTCTGCAGCATGTCATGTCCGGAAGGACACGTCTGCAGCATGTCCTGTTGGGAACTCGGCTAGCGGAGCCGCCATGTTGGTTCAGTGGTTTGGTGAAGGCTGTTTGGAGATGGAGGGTCCTCTTTAAGTGATTGCTGTGTCTGTAAATCCTGGAAGAGCAGCCAGTCCTGAAGGTCTCTTTCATCAACTCACTGTTGAGGGTAGTGGCGTCCCTGACCTTTGGTAGGACTTGTGTGTGCTGGGACACAGATTAACTGCCCAGTACGGGTGTTGCCCTGGCTGGAGCAGCTGCTGGGCAGGGAGCATCAGGGCAGCAGGTGCCTGTTGGAGAAGCAGTACACACGCGGGGTGCTCTTGGGTAGTAGGCTTGTCTTTGGAGTGTTTCTGTGGTCCCTGGTAAGAACCAAGAGCTACAAGTGTACAGATTGTTTTTGTCGTCTTGTGTAAGTATTTAAGTGTCTGAAGTCTACAGAATCATGAATTTCAAAGCAGTTTTCTTTTTTTAATTTTTAGTTGTAGATGGACACAATATCTTTATTTATTTTTATGTGGTGCTGAGGATCGAACCCAGTGCCTCACAGATGCTAGGCAAGTGCTCTACCACTGAGCTACAGCCCCAACCCCTCAAAGCAGTGTTTACTTAAGAATTCCAAATGCCATTTTACATCAGGCTTGGAGTCAGTTTATTATACTGCAAAGGTGACAGCTCAAGTTTTATCCTACTTTTTTTTACTTTTGTTGATGATGTAAACTTCATTTGAATGAGAAAGAAGGTAACTCTTAATTGTTCAGAGCACTGACCACTAAACTCAGTTCTTGAGTTCATCTTCCACTGGTGGTTTGGGTCCTGGTGCACCTCTGTCATTGAGCACTGGAAGTGTGGGCAGATGGAGTTAGAGAAGCAAATTAGCTAAAATGCACAAAATTAAGGAATTCAGTTAGGTTTCTAATAAAGCACTTTAATTCCTGCAGTGGAGGCATTTAATAATTCCTGCAAAACTTGACTCATCCTGCATATCAGAGTTGGGTGCTGACTGTGCTTTGGTGACTTCTTGTCTCCGTCAGGTTCTGAGTGCTCTGCAGCCAGCACGGCGGCCTCTGGCACTGTGATGTGCTGAGCAAGGGCAGCCAGGCAGAGGCTGGGAATCTTCTTTTTCAGAGGCCATCAGTCAGGAGAGCTGGCAGACGTGTCCTGCAGGATGTTGTTGGCTCTGTGCACTGCCAAGTCAGATTAATAACAATTTGCTGTGTTTACAAAATGTCAGCCATACATATGCAAAGGAGGAAATTTTGCCAAAAACATTCTTCGAACATTTATCTTACATGTATTTTAGCATAAATTGTTATACATGAGCACATTTTCATGGGATCATGAATCGGCCTCTGAGAAGAGTGACAGGGTCAGTCTGGTGACCTAAGGGAACAGAGTTACTCCAGACAGACTGGCCTGGGGTGTGAGTGGTCTCAAGCCCAGCTTGTTGCCTCTGTTTCTGCTGTGCCAGAGGTGGCAGGACATGTAGCCTGGGACACTTGGCCTAGTCATGAGCAAGTGGCACATTCTGCTTAGTAGGTAGGAGTTCACCAGTGGCCTCCAAGGAAGGTAGGAGGCAGGTGTGGCAGGATGCACATCATGCTTCAGACTCTGACCTCATTAGCTGTTTGTGTCATTGTGAGCAACCAGGGTATCAGAGGTGTCCAGCCACAGAGAACTGGGCCCATGGCAGGGCCTTGGACCCTCCCTCTGGAATGACTGCATGACCTAGTCTTTTTAATCAATGACTAAATAGTAATGTTTGCACATTACTAGTAATATGTTTATAATAGAATCGTTTGGTTGATTTACAATTACCCACTCAAAAAAGAAAAGAAAAAAAGTAGCCCATGGTGGAGGGGTAAGTAAAGAAAAGAAGGCATTTTGAGAGAAAATGGTAGAATATATTCATTTCTAAATTGATGTCTCTGTAATTTGTAGCTTGTGGAGTGTCAATGGAATGGATTTCTAAAATTCTCAAATTCTGTGTCAGATAATTATCAAGTCCCAATAGGATGGTTCTTGTGGTGTCCTCCAGGCCTGGAATCTTCACTCAGTTCAGAGCACGTCCTTCCCTTGCAGTCTTTCTGGCCCCCATTCCTATCCCGGATACTTCTTTGATGACCACTGGTTCGCGTGGTCATCAAAGAAGGATGAAGGTCTGTCATGAGCATCTATTGTGACGTGGTAGGGCTCTGGCTGCAGGTGTCCAGCGTGGGTGTGCTGTACAAACGTGGCTTCATTGTCAGTGGGTCCTTGGCCCGAGGGTCCTGGCTACCCCAAATCACAGTACTTTTCATGGAGCAGATAATTGTAAGTAGCATAACAGTAACATTTCATGGATCACGTGGAAATCTTATGAACCTAACTCCCTTATCCTGGGGGAAGAAGCACACTCTTTGCTGTGAAGGTTAGTCCATTGCTGGGCTGGTGCATAGTTGCTCAGGCTAGAAGGCAGTGGGTACTGACTTTGGTTTCCTGATTATCATTTGTTGTCAGAACATTTCTCCCATCTCAGGCAGTATATTGCTTTGAAGATTTGTGAACAGTTTGGGCAGGCCTTTACAAAGGCCAGAGGAAAGTTAGTTTTTGGTGAGGATGAAAACTATAATCCAGTACTGGCTCATGACAATGAATCTGCTCTGAAAACTTGCCTGCAAGTTGCTGAGGCCAGCCTGGAAGAGCTCTCCTGCCTGAAGCTGTCGTGCTGCGAAGTGACTTCAGTCCAAGTCTTTGAGCAGCCCTGAGGCCCTCAGCAGGACACAAAGTAGTGCCCTTTTTTGTTTGTTCACTGTGCTTTGCTGGACAGTGTGGTGTGTGACTAGTGACCTCCAGTATGACACAGTGCTGACCACAGGGAGACTCACAAGTAGCTTAGGAAAACTGCAGTCATCGGCTGAGGGCCAGAGGGGTCCTGGGGAGGCAGAGTCACAGGACAGAGCCCACCAGTGTGTCTGGGAAGTGAGAAYCTGCTCCCTTGCTCTTGGCTCCTCTGAGCTGTGGGTGGAGGGATGGTCAGAACAGCTGGGGTGCTGGGGTAGGATGGGTGGGAGCCACATTGTCTTTGGAAGGACTGAGCAGCAACTGGCCTGGTTGGGTCCCAGTGGTGTTTGCAGGTATAGCCAATGCCTTGGCTTCTGACAGCACAGGGTGCTGCCGCCCCTCCCTGCATGTTCACAGTGGGTCCCTGTGCTCCCAATCTCCAGATATTAAGTGCAGAGATTCTTGGTGTCAGTGATAACACCTCCTGTTTGAAGCTTCGGCTAAGTCCCAGCTCTCTTTCCTTCTCCATCCTTGGGGCAGCCAGCCCTGACTCTCCTGGCTTTGCAACTGGGCTGCCTAGCTCTGTGCCTTAGAATTAAGACCTGTGACTGAGCCAGGCCTTAGATGTTGAGCACTGCACCCAGTGGCAGGCACAAGGTTGTCTAAGACATAGTTGCAGATCAGTTAGTAAGTACCCTGGAAGTTGGAGTCTTCAGCATTCCCCCGTGATACCTTGACAACCCCTGCCGGGGACTCTCTGTGCCTATGAGTCACGTGTCCACTTGACTTTTTATTCACAGGCGGAATCTAATAGTGGATGGCTGGTTTTCACCACAGTGCCTGTGTCTAAGCTGGTACCCGTGGCACAGCCTCTCCACTTCTGAACCATCAGTGTCTCTGAGAAATGGTGCTTCTTCTTCATCTCTTACTCAGTTCTGAAAATCAGAGCTGTTTTCCATCCTTAGCTGCATCCAGGGAGCCCAGCCTGAGGCGCCCTGAGCAGTGCTTCTAGCCTGGCTTTATCCCCACCCCAGGGACCATGTTTTCCGTGGACAGGGCTCCCTGCCTGTCCCTGATGTTCCGTGGCAGTCCTCTGGTTCAGGGAGCTGGGCGAGGCTATCTGAGAAGAGCAGCGGGCCCGAGGCTCGCACTGGAGTTGGGGTCAGAGGTGGCCAGAGTGTGCTAGCCCTGGGCTCTAGGGATGTTGCTACTGCAGACCTGCCCCATGCATCTGTTCAAGCTGTCACTCTGCACTCCTCCCTGTGAGATCGCGAGTTAAGAAGTGTGACCACATGGTTGAGGAAAACGCTTGTGGGGAGGAAGGAGCTTTGGCCTGGAGAAGAGGCTAGGGAACCTGTGCTCTGAGCAGGGCCATACTCACTGCTGGACTGTCCACAGAGAGAGGCCCAGAGGGAGGCCACGGGAAGGGAGAGGTGGCTGTCTGGAATGCTGGGACAGGACTCAGGTGTTCTGCGGAGATGGCGTGTTTCTGGGGGCTCCTGTAGTGCAGATGACAATGGTGCTGGCCTGTCACATGGCCTCTTGTAGAGGCAGGTCACAGTGGAGATGGGTGCACTGAGCTCTCACCTGGGACAAGTGCACTCTGTGGCCATCACACCCAGTCAAGAGGATGCCAAGCAGCTGCCTCTGCCCATTCCTGCCTGGGTGTGTGGCAGAGCTTAAGGCAGAGGAAAGACGTGAGGCTTGTTTCCCGAAGCTCATTGCACTGCCGGGGTGGAAAGAAAGTCTGGTGTCTGAGCCAGAGCTGATTTGATGCCCTCTCTGCCCGAGTCGGGATAACCTGGGCCTGTGTGAGCCCTGGACTGCTCCCAAGGGCACTGCAGCGGCTCCAGCTGCTGGCCTACAGTGTGCCACACCTGGTCGTTTGCACAAGCTTTGGGCAGGACCCAGCTGGGTAGCTTTCCAACGAGTGGTCAGCCCTCAGTGCCCTGCCTTCACAGAGGTCACAAGGTGGTCTAGCTCCCGAGGAAACCTGGAGTGCAGGGCAGAGTGTCTTCCCCATGTAGGCTGCCACATTCATCTTTTTGAAATGGAGCAAGCAACCTAGGTCACCTTTGTGGGCATGGTATGACCCTTTCTGTCTGTCAGACTGGAGCCCACCCTCTTGCAGCCACAGGGAGGTTGGGGGATTGGCTGTGGGTCAACTTTCTTGAGCCTGTTTGAGCCAAGCACTGGGGCCATCTGGAATGTGAGCACTTATTTGGAGCATGCCCTGGAGCTGGCTCACGGAGGACCCCGTCTCTTTTTCAGAGGATTACCCCAACGGCACCTGGCTGGGCGATGAGAACAATCCTGAGATGAGGGTGCGCTGCGCCATCATCCCCTCTGACATGCTGCACATCAGCACCAACTGCCGAACGGCCGAGAAGATGGCGCTCACGCTGCTGGACTACCTTTTCCACCGTGAGGTGCAGGCCGTGTCCAACCTCTCCGGCCAGGGCAAGCATGGGAAGAAGCAGCTGGACCCGCTCACCATCTATGGGATCCGGTGTAAGTGGGCCTGTCCCAGTTCCTGCCTGGCTGGGGGGTGGAGAGAGCTTTGGAGGCATCTGGTGAACTGGATTGGGGGCCCACGTGTGCAGTGCTGGAGAGGACGCTGGGCTCAGTGGTCTGTGTCATGTGTTCCTGGGTTGGCCTTCAGAGTGCCCAGCCTGTGTGTCCTGAGCTTAGACACCAGGTGAAGCTCCAGAGGTCTGGGTCCAGGGGAAGCAAGGAGCCTTGAGGCCATGGAGTGTGTGCGCAGGCTCTGCCCTGCAGTCCCCAGACTGGCACTCACTGCGCTTCCGTTCCTTAGCAGCTCCTGCTGGAGTCAGTCTCTTGTAGGGAAGGGGCACAGGCTGTTGATTAGGACCCATCTCATGACTGCTGGCCCCTTGGTGGCCTCTGTGCCTCAGCTTCCTCAGTGACGGCGAGAAACTTGGCAGAGCTGCTGTGGGCTCTGTCAGTACATGTGGCCCTCTACTCCTGTGAAGCCACTGGGAAGGGGCAGTGCGTGCTCAGGTCCCTCTGCTGGGTGCAGGCCTCAGGATGAGTGGGAGTCCATCTGGGCCACCTGTGTCAGCGAGGCCTTTGCAAGTTAGGCACCACTGTGCGTTCAGGTGGACCCTGAAACATTCCACGTGCTCATTTGCCTTTTCTCCCTGTGCTTGCTTTGATACTTATTGCTGATTGCGCCTCACAACACAACACAAAACAAATACATGAACACAGGCCCACCTCCTGAGGCCTCAGCTCAGCTACTGATGAAGAGCAGACCAGCATTGTCACCCCTGCCTCCCTCTGTTGCTCCTTCAGAGTCTGCCGTGACATCCACAGCTTCAAGGCTACAGCCACAACCATCCCAGTTAGGGAAGACTTTTTTCTCCTTCCTGTTTGTGGACAGAAATATTTTCCCCTGTTGGGCTCAGTGGTGCATGCTTATGCACCTCCCAGGGGCTTGGGAGGCTGAGGCAGGAGGATCACAAGTTCAAAACCAGCCTCAGCAATTTAGCGAGGCCTTAAGTAACTCAGACTCTGTCTCTAAATAAAATACAAAATAGGGCTGGCGATGTGGCTTAGTGGTTGAGTGTTCCTGAGTTCAATCCCTGGTACCCGCTCCCCACCACCCCCAAAAAAGAAAAAAAAAATCCCCCCCCCAAAAAAAATCTGCATTTTGAAACACACGGTAGGTCACATCTCTAAGTACTGTCTTTGTGAAATGAGGGGACATGTTTATTTGAAAGGGGGACTTGCTTTCTGGGATGTGGGCTTTTTGAGGGCTCCCAAGGATCAGTGGGCCTCCCAGAATTCAGGCAGATAACGAAATAGTTTGTGCTCCATCAAAAGTAGCACATTCTCGTAACTTTGGAAAACGTGGAACATTCTTTTAAAGAGTGTGTCTTGTTTGAATTGAGAGCGCAGGAGCGGTTCTTACAGCTTTTCCTATCGGTGGTATAAGCCTCTGCTTGAACTATGCAGAAGAGCAAGTCCTAACCTGCAAGTTGCCAGAAATGAATTGAAACACAAWCAGCATGACACCCCCTGACCCTTGGGGACATCTGTGAAGAAGGCTGGTTTGGATGAGGGATCCCTGAGATCTCCTAGTGCTTGGTGGGAGTTTGCTTGGTTGGCACAAAGTCCCACACTCCCAGGTGACCTGCAGACGGCTGCAGTCCCCCCTTTCAGCAGGCAGTCTCCTGGCAGAAGGCACAGGCACGCTGACCTTGGGGAGCCATCTGTCTACCCGACCTCGGGCACCCTGCAGGCTGTGTTGGGGTCCTGGGACTGCTGCAAAGAGCACTGCAGACTTGGGGCTGGAGGCCCAGGGGTTGGTTCTCTGATGGGTCTGGAGGCCGTGTGTCCAAGGTCCAGTTCTTGGCAGGCTGTGCCTCCTCTGCTGGGGCTTTCTTTCTCCTGGCTTCTGTTGGTGGCTGACGCTTCCTGGTACTCCCGCCTCGGGGCAGCCTGGCCCCAGCCCTGCCGCCTTGCCCCAGGGCCTGTTTCCAGTGTTTTCCGCTGTCTTTTTCTCCTCTCCTTATAAGGACACCAGTTATACTGACTGGTGTGACCTCATTTTCACTTAATGAATCACATCTGCACAGACCCTGGTTCCCAGTGAGGTCACACTCAGAGCTCCTCGGAAGGATGAGAACTCGAGGGGATGCTGCTCAACCTACCGTATAGGATGTGGGTTCTTCTGAACTTGCTGGTTGGGTGCTGTCTCTTCTCCACTGCTGTGGTGACAGGGGAGGCTGCCCATGTGTGCCTTGGGGTCAGGACATGGCTGTGCACAGGTGCTCCCATTGGTCCATCCCTGCTCAGCATGGCAGGGCACAACGAGTACCCTAGTTTGACCTAGAGCTGGCATATGTCAGGTCCCTGTGACTGATGGAGAGCAGCAGAAGACCCCTCATTGGCAGGGACCTGGACGCTGTGCCCTCAGGCAGCAGAGAGTAGCACCAGGGCTCGGCAAGCTGAGGAGCCTTGTCTTTTCTTACCCACGTGTACAATCGTGGTAGTGGGACACCAGCTGGGCCTTGAGAGGGGGGCTCTGAATATTGAGGGCCTGGGCCTGTGCCTGCCTGGAGTGCCACCATGAGGACACATCGCTCGGTTCCCCATTCAGAGCTGTGTGGATTCCTGTTGCTTTTCTAAGCCAGCTGCTATCTAGTTAGGTCTGTAATTTCAAGAAATAAGTTGCTGACACTCAGTTTCCTGCTTTGCATTCTCCTGAACTTGAGATTCTGTTAACAGGGATCATGTTTATCATTCCTTCATGCCTGATAAATTGAGTGTGCCACCCACCGAGGACAGGAGACTGAGCTCTGCTTGTGTGTTACCTCTGCCCTGTCCCCCCACAGCTCCTCTCAGGTCCACTATGAGCCAGGCTGGCCAGGGAGAGCTGGAAATCTGGTTTTGTGATTTGAACACATGTCCACAGTAGGAGTTCTGGAGGGTGGGGAGGCAGTTACATGGTGGGGAGTGTTTTCTGCCCCAGGGTAGACTGCCTGGCAGCTTGCAAGGGCAGGGTGAGAGCTGGCTGGGGCCTCCCCTGAGCCCAGTGGACAGGTGTGGCTCCGGCCAGTGGCAAGGGTGTACCACCTCGCTTTCCAGTGAGCTGAGTGTGGCTCTGTGGGTAGCAGGTGCCCGAGGGCCGGTGCCAGCAACTTCTGTTCTTTGTGTCTTCTGCCTGCTGTCTCCCCAGTGCACTGAGGCAGCGGTGGGGCAGCCTGAGCAGAGCAGCAGCTTGGTGGCCTGGCCTCCCTGAGCATCTTGCTGGGGCCTGGGCTGTGCTGAGGGCCACAGTGGAGCCCCCCCCCCCCCTTGGTGGCACTGGAAGGCAGGATTGTAAGGCCGTTGCGCACTCCTGCCTGGTGTTTGACTTGGACATGAAGGTGAATACTCTTTTTCCTTGAGGTTGTTAAACACGAATCAGACAATAAGGTAGTTGGTTAGTGGTGGGTTCTTTGGTGGCTGTGGTCTGCAGTGGGTCCTTGTCACTGCAGTGGTCACTGTCCTGCTTGGTGTCCTGACTTGGTGAGGCTTTGTCCTGCAGTAAAGCCATACGCAGCACACTGTGATCACTCAGTAGGTATTTATTGAGTGATGATTCTGTGATTTCTTTAGAGGTGACCTGAAAGTCAAAGACCCAAAATTTGGTGCTTAATTTACAAATATTCTTTTCTGTAAGATGATGAGTGTTGCTCCCATGCTTTTGGTTGCTCTTCCTGATGCTGGGGTCCTGCCCCATTTTCATCCAGTTTCTTTTTATCTAGTCACAGAGTTTGGTTGCCATTCATTTCTGCCCTAAGGACACGCTCATATAAAAAGCCAAGAGCTCTTCTCAAAACCACCACCACCACCACCACCACCACAGCAAACCTTCTGATACTTAATACAGTACTTAAAAACCAAACACTTCCTTTGTTTTCTGGTGTTTTGCTCCCCTCAGGAGCAGGTGTGTGGGGACAGGGCAGTAGTTAACTCTCAGTGGATGGTTCAAACCCAGGGCTCTTGGTTCTCAAAACAGCATTTCAGTGTGAGCGTCTGACCATGACAGTTGTTAGTATCATCTGTTCCCTTGGAGTGGATGGCCAGCAGAGAGGAACCTGCTGAAGGACAGAGGCCTCATGATCCCCACGTTGTCACTGGGTACAGGAAGGGCCCTCCAGACCCTTAGTCTCCTCGTAGCTGGCTGGGAGCTCCTCTGGATGCCCATCAGTGATGCTCTGAGAGCTGTCTGTGGAAGAGTGACTGGCCACATGGGTGCCCGTGGGCACTTTGCTCTGCCAAGATGCTCTTCAGGAAGGTGCACGCCCACCTGCCCCATCCCTGCTTCACGTTGGAGTGTAGGTAGTGCCCTTCTGCCAGGTGTGCAGGGGTGCCAGGGCAGAAGCACTGCACAACACAGTCCTGAGAAAGGTGAAAAGGTGTGGGAGTCCATTAGCGAGTGTCAGAGCTGAGGGCACTGGAAGGGTGCCGGAAGGGTGCCGGAAGAGAGCCTTAGACTGCTGTGATCTCCCTGTGTCGTGGGAGAGCTGGGCATGTGCTGTGTGCCAGGACACTCTGGTTTACTGGCATGCACAGGGAGACACATTTCATCTCCAGTGTTTGTGAGGGTGGTGCAGCAGGGGCTGAGGGCAGGTGGGACTGTTGGGGGTCGGGCTCCATAGGGCTGGGGTAGCCGAGAGGGCAGAGGAGTAACACGTGCAGTTTTGGAAAACCAGATCTGACTGCATTGTTGGGATCCTGATTTGATTCTCTTGGCATTTGGGACATGAGATACTGTTCATGATTTGGGGGCAGACGGGGGATGGGACTGCAGCAAGCCTGACACCTCTTTCACCCAGCATGCAGTTGGGCCAGGTCCTTTATAAGTTAAGTGAATTGGAAGGAGGTATGACTAGGTGAGCCTGCACCTGGTCTTGGAAGGCCACTTATCCCCYGACTGTTCTCTGGTGAAGTGTGCTTTCTGGCTCATTTTTCTGGAGGGTTGGGTCAGCCTTTGGTAGCTGAGCTCTGGCAGCTGGCCACTTCAGTGTTCAGGTCACTCCCAGATAGCAGGGCCCTGGAGGAAGGCTGCACCTCACTGCTCTCTTTGGGATGTGTTCTTCCAGGTCACCTTTTCTATAAATTTGGAATCACGGAGTCTGACTGGTATCGAATCAAACAGAGCATTGACTCCAAATGCCGGACAGCATGGCGGCGAAAACAGCGAGGCCAGAGCCTGGCGGTCAAGAGCTTCTCGCGCAGGACTCCGTCCTCGTCCTCGTACAGTGCCTCAGGTAGGCCCTGTGGCAGGCGGTGCAAGTGGAGCCTTGGGGCTCAGTGCAGGGGGAGGCCTCCCCCTAGCTGAGTCTGCAGTGGCCCTGGGACCCTTCCCTCTGGGTCCATGAGTGAGCATGGTGAGGCTGAGAGAGAGAGCACAGTAGCCCTGTCCTGGTTATCTCACCAAGGGACACCCTGGCCCTGGGCCCCGAGTCCCTCTGGGCTCCGGAGCAGAGGGAGGGTTTGCTCAGACCCTCCTCTCCTGCTGCCGTGGAGCTCCTGAGCGTCTGGCTGACTTAACGACACAAGCAACACTATCGTTGTTATTTGCAGGTGACTGCAAGTGGAGGGTTGGGGGAGTACCAAATTGTTTTTCTCTTTTTTTCTGATTTCGAGTTTACGGACCCAGACTTCTCCAAATAGTCGAGCAGTCTCGCCTCCCTGCAGGCGTTGCTGGAGAGTGGCTTTCCCTGAAGAGCTCTCTGCAGCCATGCTGTGCGACTTTGCCTTTCTGTTGCCTTTCACCTGAGACATCTCAAAACACTTATAAAGTATTTGAATTAAATAATTTTCCTAGACTCCCCACAGCAGCTTCCTTGGCAGGAGCTCTAGGAACCCAAGGGCTCGGCAGTGGACGGGGTGGCCCTCCCAAGTGCTTCCTTGATTGGAGACGCTCTTCTGGGAGCTGCAGAGCAGATCGCCTGGATTTGTGTGCACATCCTTGGGGAAGTGGCCTCCTCCTGGCCGTTTTGGGGGGGGGGTCATCAGACCTCAGCCTTGGCTATTGCCCAGGTCCTTGAGATGGATGTGGCTGCTGTGTGGGCCACAGAAGCCATACCTGGGCAGTGCTCTTGTGAGTGGCTGCAGGAAGAAGCTGTGAAGGAGGAATCAGCCTTGCTGCCCTGGCTAGGAGTCCTGTCACGGGAGCTCTGCGGGACCTGGAGGAGAACTGTGCTGGTGACGCTCTGCACAGGACAGAGAGGGTGCCTGTTGCGTGGACACAGCAGCGGGAGTCGTGGCTCCAGGCAGGGCCGGGATCCTGTCAGTGGGCGGCAGGCGGCAGGTGTGGAAGCTGTGGTCACCTGTGTTCCCACTTTGTTCAAGCGTGGAGGCGTGGAGAAGGCGTTGGGATCTGTGTGTGCTTATCTTGGTAGTGGCTGTCTCTAGCTAGCGGGGTTACGGTTTTTATTTCATTTATGTCTTTGTGTTTGACTCTGGCTTCCACATTATTTCCAGTGAACAGTGTATTAATTTTATAGTTTTTAAAATGCTGTTTAATTCAAGGGGTGGAGATTTCTGCTTTTAGTGACCATGCAGTAGCAGGGCCAGAGTGAAGTCTCCTATAGACACCTGGACAGGATCTGAGAAGCTGCTTTGTGGACGTTGGGCAACAGGTGGCCAGGCCTGTGCTCCCCGAAAGAAGGAAGTGGGACCTGCCCCCACTCCGAACCCCTCTGGAGTGTGAAGCAGTGAGGATTGTCAAGTGTAGCCCACAGCCGGGCTGGGGCTGTGAGGGGCTGAGGCAGTGAGAGCTGTGGGGAGAGGGCAGGCTCTCTGTTGCCTGTGTGAGTCCTAGAGGCACTTGCCTAGAGGGAGGTTCCTAAGTTCACCTGGGCTGAGAGGCGTCGGGTTCCCACAAGACAGAATGCAGAACCCTCTGTGACAAGTCCAGCTTATAGCAGGGGCACCAGAAGGCYTTGCCTGCTAAGGCTGAACTGTCCCCAGAGAAAAGTTGCCACAGTCCAGACACCTGACATGGAAAAAGGCACAAGGCCCAATATCCAATCAAAAGAACCAGAGGGAAGGAGACTGTGTCCAGCAAAACCAGGGTGGAGGGAGACCAGTCTAAACGAACAGACCAGGCATTAACACGTCTATTAAAGCATTTTAAGGGGGAGCAGGAATGTAGCGGAAGTAAAGAAATAGAAGATACACAAGCGCCAAGTGGACTTTTGGATGTGGGCCGTGCGGGCAGGGGTTACCATGACACAGTGCCATTCTTGATTTCACCCATGTCATTTGGTAGGGCTGGACCCAAGTTAAATTCCCAGTCAGGGACAGTCTCCTCACAAACCTGTAAACTACTGGATGTGGTGTCCTGCATTACTAGGGCACCGAAGATCCCTGGGGTGTGTCCGAGGAGGAGAAATGCGTCAGCACAGGGACGGGCAGCAGGGCCTCCTCGCCCAAGGCTGGACTCCTTGCTCTGTGCTCAGGCGCCTCAGCTCCCCGAGTCCTGCTGTGGCAGGGGCACCTTGCACATGAAGGTACTGCTGCCTCTGGACTAGCCTGCCCCGTCACAAAATGTTTTGGAGCCTTTGAAAGGACTGTTCAGAGACAGGCTTTGTGGTAGTGCTGGGATTCGAGGCCATTGTCTTTGGAAGCTAAAGGGTTTGAAATTGAGACCTCAGGGTGTGATTGGTCCTTTTGGTGCCTGGAGAAGTGGCCCCTGGATGAACTGGGCTGCCTTGGGTGGGATGCTGAGAGGGGCACAGCACCAGCAGGCGTGGGAGGCAGATGCAGCCCAGCTGGGTTTGTTCATCATGGGGTCTCACGGCCAGCACCCCATTCCTATTCTTCATGAATGTTTTCCTAACGTGTTATGTAGACCTTTCCAGCTGTCGGGTGAATGGCTTTGGGACTTGGTGCTCAGGTGGACTAGGTGTGGGATCGGCCTTCTGCAAGCTCCACTTGCAGGTGGACCGCTTTGGAAAAACCTTGCATTCAGATTCTGATTCAGATACCACGGCAGTGACCTGAAATTCTGTTTCTAACCAAGTGACAACCACAGCACCAGCCATGCTCACCCTTGAGCCAGGCTCTGCGTTGGAATGTGTAGGGTCTTGGGCAGGTTGACCTTCAGGTCCACTGCTGACTTTGCAGGTGGAGATTGAGATGCCTTTCTCTCAAGCTCAGGTGGTCTGTGATTTTTCTTGACTTACCGTTTTTTTGTTTTTGTTTTTGTTTTAACTTCTCAGTGTCTGTCTTCCAGTCCTCAGTGTTCCTTTCAGTGGAATGTCTGACTCGGTTTAACGATGGTTCATCAAGATGTCAGTGTGTCTCTAAGGTGCTGTGGGTCTCTCCACACTAAGTGTGCTGGTCTCTGAGGGGCACAGCTGGCCGCAGTGCGGTGGGTCTTCAGTATCTGAGCCATGTCTGGGAGACCCTGGCAGCGGGCTGACTGAGGTGGCTTTTGAATGTGGCTTTTTCAGAGAGGCGAGGCCTCGTGCCAGGGGCAGGGCCTTCCTCGCCCTTCTCTTTGGTCAGCTGTCTCCAGCTTCCATCCTAGTGAAAGCACACTGCCCCATCAGCCTTCTGTGCCCAGTGTCTGGAGTAGGAGTGGACTCTAGAGGGCAAGGCCAGTCGTCCAGACCCCAGCTGAGGGTGGTCAGCCGAGGGGTGTCCCTGTGGCTTGAAGTGCTCCCTTTTCAGGGGAGCAGTCAGTGTGGCTTCTGATCATTGGGCCGCTGCTGCTGCTGCCCCAGGCCCAGGCTCCTCCCTCCCTCACAGTGCCCCCTCGCAGTGCCCCCTCGCAGTGCCCCCTCGCAGTGCCCCCTCGCAGTGTCCCCTCACAGTGCCGGGTGAGTTGAGGACAGAGAGCACCTTCTTTTTAAAGTTCTCTGCTTTGTAAACTTCAGTGGACTTAATTATTACTTTAAGGGACTTCTAGAATCTGCCATTGTTCGTTTTGTGTCTACTCTTGGTCTAACAAAGCTATTTTGGTGACAGAAATAACTCAGTAAAATGTAATTAAGCCACAATTCTGGCTTAATTACATTTTACTGAGTTATTCAGTGAGGTTGTAATTCAGTGGGGTTGTCTCGTTCACCTTTGAATTCTCAACCAATAGAAAAGGAACTTCGAAACAAATACTGTAGGTGGGATCCTGTGCCAAGGATAATCTGTTTAAAGATTATCTGTTACTGCCAGATTGAATACAAGTCATAGAACACTGGTTTCTAGAGAATTTCTAAAAACTGATTTATGAAAGCACTGTACCATGCTATCTGGCAACACCGCCCAGATGTTTACACATGCTTGAGTTTAATGTGGCTTAATTTTACTGTTTAAAACACACTGAGTAAGGGCTGGGGTTGTGGCTCAGTGACAGAGTGCTAGCCTTGCACATGTAAGGCCCTGGGTTCCATCGTCAGCACCACATAAAAAATAAATAAATAAAATAAAGGTATTGTGTCCAATTACAACTGAAAAATAAATGTTTTTTTTTTTTTAAAAAAAAAAACAGTCTCATTGGCGAGTTGGAAACCGTGGCTGGGCATCTGTACAGTAGTGGCCAGTGTTTAGAGTTGAAGAGTACCCTCTCTTGAAGCCCACTGCCTGCATTCTGTGCACGGCTGCCTTTGCTTCCTTCAGTGAGTGCTCTGGATGCTGGGAGGAGCCAGGCCAGGAGAGGTGGGGAGGCCCTGGCTTGGCCCTGTCTGTGGCTCCCTGTCCCACTGGATGGCAGCCTGCTACCTCCTCAGTGCAGTTCTGACCTGCGCTGGTGTGAGCATGTTCACCTCTGGTCACTGCTGTAGCTCCTGATCACAAACAAGTGGCCAGTGCGGATTTTTGCTCTAGATGTTAAAATTACTCTGCTTTAAACTATGGATTTAACTAAGTCTTCACATTATACAGTTGTGGTGAGCCCTTGATCAAATGGTAATTTCAATGATTTGAATCTTCCGTTTGGAAATCATTTGTATCATATTAACAAATCCTATCTTCTAGGATTTTTTTTAGAATTCTACATATGAGTAGAACCATTCTTCTTAGCATATTTTTAACCATTGTAAACCATCAAACTCCATTGATTATTATTATTATTATTTTTTCCAATTGGAGCAGAAATACTTTGGGAGTCTGTTCAGTCATAAAGCTCTTATTAGCTGCTGTAGTGTTCTCTAAATATTTAGCTCTTGTACCTCTCATAATGAAGTTTGAAATGTTTTTTCTTGCTTTTTGTATTTGGTACCGGGAATTGAACCCATGGGTGCTTTAACACTGAGACAATCTCCAGCCCTTTTTATTTTAAATTTTGAAACAAGATCTCACCAAGTTGTTGAGACTGGCCTGGAACTTATGATTCTCCTGCCTCAGCCTCCCGAGCGGCTGGAATTATAGGCCGGCTTCCTTGCATATTTTTTTAAAAATTTTTTAAAAAATTTCTAGTTGTAGATGGATATAATACCTTTATTTTATGTATTTATTTTTATGTGGTGCTGAGGATCGAACCTAGTGCCTCATACATGCTAAGCAAGCGCTCTACCACTGAGCCACAACTTGTTAAAAAATGGCCATTTAAAATTTTTTGATATTGTTTGAAGTAATTAAAAAATATAATTTTTATCATTTTGCAAATATTATCATCTTATTATTGTTATGTTACTTTTTTTTAAAGAGAGAGAGAGAGGAGGGAGGGAGAGAGAGAGAGAGAGAGAGAGAGAGAGAGAGAATATTTTTAATATTTATCTTTTAGTTCTCGGTGGACACAACATCTTTGTTGGTATGTGGTGCTGAGGATCGAACCCGGGCCGCACGCATGCCAGGCGAGCGCGCTACCGCTTGAGCCACATCCCCAGCCCCTTGTTATGTTACTTTAAGAAATGTATTCAGTAGACTCTACATGCCTTGGCAGTCTGATGCCTACTAGGAGCTGCTTTAGAGTGCTGGGTGGCTCAGTGGTGGAGCAGAGCACACGTCCAGCTGGGGCCAAGCTCACATTCACTGAGTAGTGTGCCAAGCAGTGTGCCGTGTGTACACCCCCACCCCCACAGAGTTGTTATTGTGTTCTTCATTTTTCTTCTATTCATATTAACATTTAACTTTTTTTCACAAAATTTTCTCCCACTGTAATATATTTTTATGTTTAAATGTTTTTTAATTGATCAATCATAACTCTCTACAAGAAATATATATATGCATTAAAAATTTCTTAAGCTCTTAATGTTCTAAGTGTGTTGGAAAATTTGGATGGAGGGACCATTACCATTAAAATGAACATACATCAAAGCAAATATATCTTACTTTGGGTAAACATAGAAAGTAAAATTTTGTTTTTGAAGTGTGTCTGAGTGGATGAGGCTTTCCCCTGTTTATTACTTTTTAAAAATTAAATAGTTTAGCAGATAAAAATGTAGCGGTAGTAGGTAGTGACGGGACACCAAGTCCTGCTGGGTGTGAGCGTGAATCGTGCTATGAGCCAGGCCTGCTCGTGTCTGCAGACATGTGCCACTCCCCTGTGGTGAAGACTCTTGGAGCCCTCTCCTCCCTCCCTTTGCATAGTGTGGCATGCTGTCCCTCCCTTGGTGACCACACTGTGCAGTGGCACCTCTTCCCTAGTCACCGTTACACTCCAGGGGCAGACACGATGGGCTGATGGCCCAAACAGGGCTTCACACCATTGTGTCTTGTCTTTTCAGCCCTGCAGTGACGTCTGGTGCTCTTTGTTCACGTGACAGGCTTACACGAGTAGCAGGGGTTTGTTATGACAGTGGCCCTGATTTTTTACACTCTCTGGTCTTGTGTCAAACTTACTATTAGTGACCCTGCAGGAAACGGGGACCTGCTGATCCACATCAAGGGGTGAGGTGTGTCTTATGTGAACTGAGGGGCAGAAGGGCCCTACGCGAGGCTGTCTGTGTGACGCCCTGTGCTCCCACTCCTGTGCTCCCACAGAGACCATGCTGGGTACCCCACCACCCTCCAGTGAGCTCCAGCAGCCGCAGCCGCAGGCCCTGCACTACGCCCTGGCCAACGCACAGCAGGTGCAGATCCACCAGATTGGAGAGGACGGGCAGGTGCAAGTAGTATGTATCTTCTCGCCAACGCGACTGGGAAGACTGGGGAGGGGACGGGGGGGGGGGACACCTGCAGCGCGGGATGAAGTGATGGTAATATGAGCTCTTGGAGCTCGTGGGTGATGGCAGTTATTGATGGCCTTGTCACGGAAAAGCACCTTACAGGATGACTAGTGGTCCCTCGTGGCTCCTCTTCTGTCCTGTAAGAATGTGGGCATCATCTACATGTGCACAACCTGCTTGGGGTCCTGGCCACTTGAGGGTCCCTGCTACTGTCTGTCCTCCCAGGAGGGAATAGTTCTCAGTTCCGAGAACTGAGGGAAGAAAAGGTCCTTCCTTCAATGGGAACGACGGCCTTTATTCCTGCATAGCATTTCTTTGGGATTGTGTAACTCATGATGTCCCAGGTTTTCAATGCTGTGAACAGTGTTTCAGTGTTACTGCAAGTAGCACATATGTGGCTCAGTCTAACCTTTTGTGGGTAATCCACACCTAGGGTTATGGGACAGAATGGGCTCACAGATAGGGGCTTCCAGTGGTCACTTCCCAGCATGAGACTTGCCTCAGCGGCTTGGAATTCTTTATGCTGGGGCTGCTGGGGTCCTGCTTGTGGTCATCCCAAAGGGCTGGGGCAAGGGCCCTCCACAAATACACACCCCCCATGGGCTCCTGTGGCAGACATTAGGAGTAGCGCAAAGGGTCGGGAGACTTCTTAGAGACTTGGTAGGAATGATGGGTGTGGTGCTGTACCTGTGATCCCAGTGACTCTTGAGGCTGAGGCAGGAGGATGGCAAGTTCCAGGCCAGCCTGGGCAACTTGGTGAGGCCCTGTCACAAAAAATAAAAAGTGCTGGGGGTGCAGCTCAGTGGTAGAGCTCCCAGGGGTTCAATCTGCAGTGCTCAAGGAAAGAAAAGCCAGCTCTGACTTAAAGTTGCACCTGCTGGGCTGCCCTGAGCCCTGCCCTCCACTGCCCGCCTCACTTTCTGCAAGAAAGCCAGAACCCTTCCTGGCACTTCCACCAGCTTTTTGTCCCTCAAGCTGAAACCATCGTAAAGGAAGCTGTTGTTCTAAGTTTGTCTCCCTTCTTTTTTAATGTTGCTCACATTCTTAAAATTTACCTGTCTAGTGGCATTAAAAGACTTAGCACACTTTTCCCGGGGTGCATTGCTCCTCCCGGAGTGACTGTGGTGTCTGTGACGCTGTGTCCCGAAGGTGGGTTTCAGGAGTGTCCCGTGGGCCCAGGCTTGTGCACACTGCAAGGAGCTGGCCGGCACCCAGCCTTCCCTGAGTCAAGGTCAGACTTGGCGGAACACGCTTCATGTTTCCTTTGGTGTGTTTTTCTTCTGATGCTTCTTGGTGTCTTCTCTTTGCGGATCCCACAGGGCCACCTCCACATCGCCCAGGTGCCTCAAGGGGAGCAGGTGCAGATCACGCAGGACAGTGAGGTGAGTTCATTGACCCTGTGCTAAAGGTGGACCAGATAAGGGTGCAGCAGGGCTGGGAGGCTCAGAGCCTCTGGGGGCCTCTGAGGAGAAGGTCCTTTGGCTCAGAGGTGCTGATGGCTCTTCAGCTTTTCAGATGTTACGGGACATTTTCCTCATGTCCTTACAACAGCTTTGCTGCTCTCATTAAGTGGGTGTGGATTAGTTGGGAGGAACAGAGGTTTTCAGAAGTTTAGTTCCAGGTGAGAGCTGGTGTGAGGATACCCATGGGCTCACCTGCCGACGAAGCATGCGGATAGCTGGCTGAGCTCTGGCTGTGTGCAGGCTGCTGTGGGGACTCAGTGCTAGAGGCTGTAGCTCCCAGAGCTGGCTGGCCCCAGACAGTTGTGTCCATCACCATGAGGAGGGCTGAAGGTGCCCTGCCTGTAGGACAGCAGCAGGAGACTCCAGGAGAAGGGCTCAGGGATGACATCTGGAAGCTCTCAGTGGGCTCATTGGGAGGGAAGCATGCTCACAGGGGGGAGGGAGAAGGAGCCAGGAGCACAGGAGGAGAGAGGGAGGGAGGAGGGGGGGCAGGAGGAGAGAGAGAGAGGCCAGGAGGAGAGGGAGAGGGAGCAGATGTAGGGGAGAGACAAGGGGGGCAGGAGGAGAGGGAGGGGGAGCAGGTGCAGGGGAGAGACAAGGGGGGCAGGAGGAGAGGGAGGGGGAGCAGGTGTAGGGGAGAGACAAGGGGGGCAGGAGGAGAGGGAGGGGGAGCAGGTGCAGGGGAGAGAGGGAGGGGGAGTAGATGCAGGGGAGAGAGGGAGGGGGCAGGAGGAGGAGGAGAAGGAGCAGACAAGGGGAGCAGGAAGAGAGGGAGGGGGCAGGAGGAGCGGGAGAGGGAAGGGTCCAGAGAGGAGGAAAGGAGCATGGGGTGAGGGTTCCGTGGCCAACTATTGTGCCTTAGCATCACCAGGGGGCTTTTTGGAGGACTGATGAAGGGGTGGAAGAGTGCTAGGCCTGGCTGGCAAGGGCGAGGTGCTGGGGGCAGTGAGTGCGAAGCTGGTGTCCCACAGGGAGCAGGCCTCTGAGGGATGGGAGCAGAGCATGGGCAGATTGGCCAGGTGAGTGCTGTGCTGCACTTGGGGGAATGGGTTGTCATTAAAGGCATAAACATGGAGGGGCGGACAGACAGCCATTAGCATGTCAGTCCTGACTCTCCAGTTTCCTAGATGGCCCAGGCATCCAATCAGAATTTTTACTTTGCTTGTAAGAGAGGCAGGTGCTTGTAGTCACTCGAAGGAGAGAAAATAGATACTGTAGTAAAAGAAAAAAATGAATACAAATTTTTTTATTGTTTTATGCTAAAATAGCCTGTGTGCTCATTATTGAATTTCAGTTTTTACTTTCGATTTTGATTCTTTCTTCAGCTTTCAAATCAATCTGTGAATTATTTTGATTTCCATCCATTAAGAATCAAATACAATAAATTACAACAGTTTGCTTGTAGCATTAATGGTGACTTTGTGATAAGTTAGGATATGGAGACAGTCTTCTTATCACAAGAAATCCTTACCTTCATGTTGTTTAAATGTTTAACATGAAGTAATTACTTTGTCTGCGAAGTGACATGGAGCAGAGTCTACCAGCCTAGCCCAGCTCATTTGGCAAGGAGTGGAAGTGTGGTCTGAGTGCCATGTGGTGCTCGGGCCTGCCATGCTGGTTTTGTATCGGTACCATTTGCATTGCTCAAGTATTTCAAGTGTTTCAAATAAAGGTTTAAAAAGAAAAAAAAGATTCTTATTTGGGGTCAGGGTAGAGGGAATGGGTGCACGTTTTGTTTTACCAAAAAATAAGTACCTAGAGACTAAGCTTAAAATATATATATATATATATTTTAATTTTCATTGCTACATGGGGTCGGATTTTGTAGAATTAGTGATTCCTAGGTGTTTCCAGATGGCATGGGAGGTTGTGCCTGCCTGCGTGGGTCATCGTGTCGTTTTTCTGTCCTTGAGTGTCTCCTTTTCCCTTTGCTTGCAGGGCAATCTACAGATCCACCATGTCGGCCAGGACGGGCAGGTAGGTTCTCTCCTGTCTTCACTTCACATCTGCCCACCGTCCCCTGGCTGGGGCTCCCCTGCCTTCTCTCCAGCATTGCCTGGGTGTGATGGCGCCTGCAGGAGGGAGCTGGGAGGGAAGGGCTGGCTTCCCTCTTGGTGGCCGTGCAGGTGCCTGGAAGACAGGCAGGGCAGTGCTCTGGCACTACTGTCCTGGCTTTGTGGGATTGTGCCGTGGTTTTGCCTCATAGGGGAGCTCCCCTGAATTTGTCATTATTTTCTGGTTGTGTGTGTATGAGCTGCTGGTGGGGCTTGTGCAGATAGCTGTGGGTCAGGATAAGGTGGGCTTGCTCTTGCGGTCACACTCCAACCACTTACTTTCTCTAGTTGGAGAGGAAAAGAGCAGCCCTCCAGCGAACACTCCTGGTAGGAATTCTGTAGCTGCTGAAGAGCCTCTAATGGAGACCCCAGTGAGGCCCTTGCAGGCCAGGAGAGGGTGAGACTGGGCACAGGGTTGTTTTCACAATCTTTTGAAGACAGTTCCTGGCAGAGACAGGATCTGGATGGCCCTTCTGTTCTGTGGCGCCCGAGCTGGGTAAGGGTGGAGAGGCTGCACACAGCTCGCTCCTATCCTGGGGGCACGAGCGCTGTCCTACGAGAGGTCTGTCTGTATTTCTCCTCTGCGTGGCACTATGCACTGGAGAGTCGAGAACTGGACACAGGGCAGACACAGCCCTCCAACTCTTTCTCGACCCCTTGGGGTGCACTGAGAGGAGGCTACTTGCCCTAGATAATCTGTTTGGATCAAGGTTCCAGTAGCTGAGTGCTGCGGTGGTTGTATTATATAAATCCAAACTTGCTGCTTTGAGTAAGAGCCAGAGCCAAAGGAACAGAACCAAAGAGAACCCAGTTCTTCTGCGGTCCTTCTGCGTCTTGGTGACAGGGCCACACATGGCCTGGTGGAAGCTGGCTATTGTCTCTGTGGTCTTGCTTTTTGCTCATGGTCAGGGTGGCAGAGGCTCGGCCTCCTACTCATGGTTTTTCTCTTAGTTTTTGATGTTTTAACGGCTCAGCTTATATCTATACACTGGTGGCATTATACCTTGTTGACACACACCTGGACTTTAGAGCACTTTAGCAGAAGGGTTTCTCTGTTCTTCTTTTCTGCTGTTTCTCAAGACATCTTACAACATATTGCACTGATTTTGCAACCCTTGGTTTGAGAAATACTGAAATAGATGACTGTTAGTGTGTCTTTCTCAAGAGCTTGTAGATTGAAACGGTTATAATTAAATAATTTTTAAAAGGTTTACAGCTATGAGGAATTTATACTGTACTTTTTAATATATTTCCCCTCATATTGTTAAAAGATAATTCTTTAATTTTATTAGAAACATTTTTAAAATTGTAACGAAGCTAAAGAAAAATGATTATAAACATACTAGTTAGTTCTTTTTTAGCACCTTCTCAGGGCTTTAAGTTGAGATCCAAAACATAGGATAATCTGTGTCACTCAGCACTGAGTRACTTTCCCTGAGCACTCTTGAATCAGGTGTCACCTGTCTCTGGTCTTGGGTGGCCTCGTTGCCCTTGGGGTTGGTGGTGCAACCTCATTGTGTGACTCGTACCATATCCACAGAGCTCAGGGCAGTTTTGTTCTGAAACCCTTTTCTTGCAAGGGCTCCAGGGAGAAAAGGAGCCCTGATGCTGGAGGGTCCCAGGCGTAGCAAGTCTGTGTGGGAAGTCTGTGGAACAGCCCTGGGGTATCAGAGCAGCCTCATCTAGCAGCTACAGGGACTTTGTTCAAGGAGCCTCTTGGTATCTGTAGGCCCTAACATACCCCAATTGCTTACTTACTGGTGYTTCCTGGCCCAAAGATGCCATGGTGTTAGGGAGTGGGCAAAAGGTGACCTGAGACTGAAGGGTAGGGGAGCAGTGTCCTCCCCGTTTGGCATTGTGGCCCCTAGAATGCCCAGCTTGTGGAAAAGGGCTCTTGGAAGGAACTAGGTGGGTGTCTTTCATGACTCTGGGTTTATTAGGCTCAAGGGTAGTTTTGCTCTAGCCTGAGCTGGGATCATTGGAAGGCCCAGCTGGCTGCCCTGTCCAAGGCAAAGGGCTTCACTGCACAGTGGTGAGAGTTCCCGTTTGGAGTGGAGTGGCATGTCCCTGCAATCCTTGTGGAAGCCACATTTTCCTTAGGGGAGGGAGCAGAATATTCACTCCTGAATCTTAGACTGGTAAGGTGGAGATGTGGGGCTGCCTGCAGTGTGGACATGGCATGTTTCAGGATCTACCTCCTGCCCAGTGTGGGCTCAGAGCCCTTAGAGGAAGGCAGGCCTAGTGTAGGCAGCGTGGACTGCCTAGCATCTGTCGACTTGAGCACGGCCTTAGTGCAGGAGCTGGTGGTTTGCAGGTGAGGCACTACTACAGTTTGGTTTCAGAATTATCCTCCTGCCTGGGGACTTTGGGGACTGCCCTGGATAGCTGTTCCTGTGGGTCCCTTGCCTTCTCGGGGGTGGGCTGCGGCAGGACAAGGGAAGGCTGAGGACTTTCCCCGACTATGCTACGTGGCACAGATGCCAGGACCCTGATGCCCGCTCTCCTGGTTCTGTTTTCTCTGGTGGCAAGGAGCTCGAGTGCTGACTGATGATTCAGAAGATGAATGTGTTGTGTGCTTAGCTCTCATTGTTGTCCCTGTGAATTCCTTGGTGTTGTGCCTCAGAAGTCACAGCAGAGGAGTCTTTCAGGCAGGTAGAAGCCTGGTGAGAGCTGGATGCGGCCTCTGGCTGGGAAGAACTTTGTGGTTTTCTAAGAGAGGGCCTGGAAGAAGCAGTCCCTCACGGGACCTGCCGAGGTCCAGTTAGCTGGAGCAGCGGTGTCTGAAGGGCCTCTCGTAGCTCTGTGAGGAGGTTCCATGGGTCCCTGGGCTGCCACGCTCCATGCTGCTGCAGTGTCCTGACCCACAGCAGACATATCTCCAGACAGCTGAGGAGGCAGTGGGTCGTCTGGATCGACTTCTTCGTTTTCAGTGTACCTTAGAAAGGTTAAATGAAAGACTTGGAGTATTAAAACCATTAGATCCATTTTGTTCCTCAGAGTACCCAGTGCAGTGGACAATAGTACATATCAATACTCCACGATTCCTCGTTGAGTCCTTAGGGTAGATAAGTTAGCATGCAGTCAAGTGAAGACATTTGAAAACTTCCATGTTTGACATTTTAAGATGTGGCAGATGGAGGCTGCTCCTCGCTCTGGAGATGGCCTGTACTCTCCCTTGAGTATGTCTCTGTTTCCCTGAATAAACTTCTGCCCAGGCCTCTTTTTTCCCCTTTTATTAAACAGTTTATTGCAGTATAATTTACTTGTCACAGTTCGACATTTGATGTGTTAATGTGTGACCAGCTTTAAACAACCAAATGTGGAATGTGTTTGCCCCTTCTCAGTTTCCAGCGATGACCTGAAAGCTCACAGAGTAGCCCAAGCTTCAGTGAGCTGAGCCATCATGACCTCTGCGCAGTTGTGTGCTTCTTTCTAGTAGCATCAAGTTTGGAACATGGTTTGGTGACTCCTGGGCCTTTCCAAAGCTTTTCTGATAGCATCTTTTCAACGTGCCTCTTTTCCTGGGCAGTGGGCATCGTGCCTTCACTTGGCAGTGCGGAAGGTTTCTTGGGGGTGGCTCAGCCAGGCCCACTCTACGGTGTGTAGGTGCTTGGTAAGCTCAGGTGGAGCTGCTGATGAAGGAGGTGAAGATCCTTTATTTAGCCCAGGGACCCTTCTAGAAGGCTGTCGAGGAGCCAAGGCTGGCAGTGTTTTTCCCCAGGTGCCTCATCTCCTGGGTCAAGGAAACGACAGTGGAGAGCACCTGTGAGGACACTTGATGCTGTCCTGCTCAGGCCCAGGTTTCCCTCAGCAATCTGGGAGCTCTGACTAGTCCAACTTGTGTCGAGGTGGAAGGTTCTTCTCCGTGCGCTTGACTTGGGGTCGCACTGAGAGGAGGTTGCCACACTGTACTGAGCACCTGCCTTTTGGGCCAGAGGAACAGGTGACAGGCTGGGAGGTCGGTCATCTGCACTGAGCCTCCCCGAGCTCTCTGGTCAGCAGCCAGGCCTGAGGAGTTCAGGATCCCATGGCCTCACGGCAGAGGGCATGGAAGGAGCTGCTCCCAAATGTGGCCTTTGAGAGCCATGGGCTCTGTGCCTGGCGGGGGCTGATGAGGACTGCTCTCACCCTAAGGGGTGAGTGAGGCAGGGCTGAGGAGGAAGCTGTGCTTCGAGTGTGGCCTCATCTCCTCTGTCCACCTTCTGGCTTTGAGGGTGCACTGCAGGTGGCTGTCTGGTTCCTCTGGGCAGTGGGGAGTCCTTGGCCTAGGTGTAGTGATGTGGCTCTGCGGGGGCTGCCTGGCTATAGTGGTGCTCCTACGTGTCGAGGTGGCTGGAGTCTCCTGTTCCCAGCTCTTTGACTCGGGGAGCTGTGGAGGGCAGCGAGGACCGTGCTGTGCCTTCTGTGGACTTCCACACCAGTCTGCCTCAAGGACAGKCCCGCTGGATGTTGCCACACCCCACCTGTCCTCCCCTGCCCCTATGCTGGCACCTCAAAGCCCCCACTGGGCACAGCCAGTTGTGGAATCAGTGCTGCTGTCTCGTGTCACCCATCAACTGGTGGACAATACCAAAAGGAAAGAGTGGAATGGTGATGTGGGTGCGCTGCATGAAGCCAGAAAGTCCTGGAAACCTTTAGAGTCACAGTGGTCCCGGAACAGTGGCCAAGGCGAGGAAAACTGGGACCAGGGCAGAGAATCAGCAAATCCAGGAAGTTGAGGAGGTGATGCCAGCAACACATGGTAGCTGCTAGCCAGCCTTGGTCTTTAGCCATCTGCATAGACACCAGGCAGTGAGCGGCAGGAGGCGTGGCTCCTTAAAAATTGGTCTTAATAGGGGAAAAGAGAAAAARAGAAAAAAGGGCGAGTCCTTTCAGAGTCTCCTTTTGGAGTGCCATGAGCACAATGTGGGGAAGTGGTCAGCA